AAACATTATGTATACATTAAATTACAAAATAAGATAATATTCAATTTTTTAATATTTTATGGTTTTATCAACTTATAAAAATTAAATAGTAGTAATTATTCAAAACCGATTATCGACCAGTCAACATTTTTAGTAAATTTTTCATAAATATGTTTTCAAATGGAAAAACTACAAAATTACAATTATTTTAAGAGTTAAGTAATGTAGGTCGTTAAATAATCACCCGATGAAATAAAAATTTTGTTTTTAAAAATAGTTTACATTTTTGTAGCAGTGTTTTGCTTATTTTATTTTTGATAAGTAAATACTAAAAATGTTATTATTTTTTAATTCTGATGCATTATACTTTTATACATTTTTTAATAACAATTGTTCAACCAACAATAAGGAATTTAATTAAATGAACTTAACCCTTTTCAAATAATAATGAGTTACTTAGCCTCTTCATAAATAAAATTACTAAATCATAAATGGGTTTGTGTGCATGAGAGCGATATAAACCCAAACTACTTGGCTAACATATTCGATTAATTTTGACTAAGGTTTTGAAACGCCATATAACATAAATAATAATACAAGTTACCTACCTTTAGTATATTATGTATGTAAATAATATCATATACAATTATTATTTATATAGTTTATATTGGAAGTTGTATTTTTTGGAATACTTAATCCAACGTTTATTTACTCTTGTTCCAAAAATACTTTGTGCCAATTATCTTTTTCTCGAAAATGTTTAACTTCCATGAACGTATGTTTCACTACAGTACTGTTATGCCATAACATTTTTCTTCCGCAAAACAATTGTTCCAAATAACAATTATTCCATACATCTTATGTCCCAATACACGTTTGTGTCCAACAAACATTTGGAACAAAGGTTCATTTTAATAAAAAAATTATGAAACAAATATTACCTACCCGTAATTGCATTTATCAATACGACGGCCTCCGAGAAAAACGGGGTTTAATCTATTTTTGTCAAAAATAGTTACGCAAATTAATGAGCTAGTTTTTTACATTTCAAACAGAACTTTATACAGGTAGTATATAAATATATGTATAATATCATTGAGTATATACTGAGTCAATATATATAGAGTCAAGTGCTACACTGGTACAATCATGATTTGTGTATTTTTACATATATATAAAGTTTTATAATAACCGTCTGAGAATCATATTACCTACTTTGAAGTATTTGACTGTGTTTTACTTACACACTTAAATCGAATTCAAACGTAGGTAGGATGCAGACTGAGATAGCCTCCATCTGCTTCCTTGCGACTACTTCTATACAAACAATGTGTACCTATATAATTAAACTTAGAACAAACATATCCAATAATAATCCAAAACGTTATTTAGTGTTCCTATGCTTCTAGAATTTGATTTGATTTATTTTTATTATAGTTTCGTATAGGTCATGTCAAACGCAGCTTAATAATATTTTGTACAGTATTATATTTTTATTGATTAGTAGGCTTCAGTCCCCATAGATTTACCAAAGATCATTTTTTTTTTTATAAGATAAAAAATTATTTCTGAAAATGTATAAATTAATTTATTAAGGACGTACGTGTGTTGATTTTTTTATCAAATACATACTACAAACCAAAAATGATATACAAATTTGAAAAAAAATCTGAGTACTGGTATACTTAGCTAGTGCTGGCAGTAGTTCTTTTATTTTTAGTCAGCAATAGTTCAAAATGTCATCTATATATGAGTGTGCAGAATGCTGATTATAGTTTATTGAATAAAATAATTTGCATTAGGAGCTCTCTATAATCTATATGATAATGGAATTCTAAATATATTTCATAAGTAAATATTCTGGTAATGTTTATACTTAAGATTATTCTTAGAAAAATTAAAACAATGCAAAATCATAGGTTTTCCCTAGAAGGAAATTATGGATCATGAATATTATGTCTAACGGTACTTGGAGGCTGGAAGACGAAAATAAGACACATTAACGTCAAAAAATCGATTAACCTATCAACTAAATTTAAAATTTAACTTTCGTATCGCATGTTGGGGGTGGGAGAAGGAGTGATAGGGGAGGGACCTGATATAGCTTAACTCTAATCTGTTACCGGATTTCTAAGTAAATGTCTAATTGTAAGATTAAGTTATTTTATATTAATGCTCGTTTTATTTTTTATCATTATCATTTACATTATAAAATGTTTAAAAAAAAAGAATTTTGAATACTTGGCTCTATGATGTAACCCAATTGAATAGTTAAATAGATAATTTTAATGTATCTAATGATAATACAATGTTTGCTGTAAAATATTAACAAAAATCTGTACGTAATGTTATAATAATAGGTCCAGCTTTAGTTTACTTTGGATGATTCATTTCAAATTATTACAAAACGTGAGTCGAGTACACGAGGCTTTAAATTGACCAAATATTTTTATTATTATCTTACACAAAAATCGTTTAATTAACCAACATTTTATAGACATACATGTTGTTTAATCAATGTTGAAACATTTTATTTTATTTAACGGAAAGATCCAGCTATAATTGGTAACTAAAGAGCTAGTGGTAAATAAAATCAGCCATTTTTCAGCCGAGTCTGCAACCACGATAGAACACTTTCATGTCTCGTTGAAATACCGAATAAATTTAAATTAGTTGTGGAATTATAATAAAATAAAAAAAATTACATGGAGCTTCGAGTTACAGCATAAAGCCAAGGAGATAAAAAAATTATGTACAATCAAGTTTCTGGCTAAAATTGTAGTGTTTATTATCTGGCCAAAAGTAACTTAACATAAAGAATTAAACTATTTTGAATTTATTATTTAGTTCTAATTTGAACGTTGAACGTACAACATATCTCTTATCTACTATATCTTACCCCTCTTCCCTACCCACTATCTCCCGTCCCTATCACTCACCCCTATCTCCCACCCTATCCCTACTCCCTAATCTCTCACCCCTATCTTTCCCCCTATATCCCTCTCTATCACTCAACCTTATCTCCCACCTCTATCTCCTGTCCCCAACCCCAACCCTATCCCACCCCCACCCCTTATCTCCTACCCCCTGTCTCCCACCCCCAACGTCATCGTCATCCCCATTTCTTTTTAGGTAACGCTTTTTTGGTAACGCTTTTTTCGGTTATTTGCCAGGGTTATGTGCCAGAGCTAAGACATGAAAATGTCAAAAAAGTAAAGACATTTTAGTACTGATGGAAATATATTATATAAGATATTAGTGGATTAAAAGAAAATTATTAATTTTGAGCCTTTAAGCGTTATGACACTGAAATGGTATTATTTTTACAATGGTGTGGTTTTATTTAATTGTGTATTTGCCCCCTTCCTTAACTAATTTATGCCAGGAGGGTTGAACACTTTTTCTTTCACTTTTTCATGCGCAATTTAAGGACTCATTACTTAAGTTCTAAAAATAAGACTAAAGATAGATCTAGAGCAATGTTATAATACGTATAGTTTGCTTAAAACTTTTTTTTTTCATTAAGAAAAAAATAATAAAAATAATAATTTTACCATATTACATTACCATGATGTTATGTGTGAATGAATCAATAGTAAACAGGTATCAGAAACATATTTTCCTTAAATTGTTGATTATGATGTAGGGATAACAACAGCAACAACCTATTTTAGATAAACGTATCCATCCCATCCAAATAAAAAAATCAAATTTCATGCACATTTTTGCCTTTACATTGTTTTTATCGGTATTGATATTTTTACCATTTGCGGATTGGCACCAAAAAGTGTATTTAAAAATGATATTATAACAAAATCCTGAAAACCCGTGAGTTCTTAGATCCCAATGTGCTATAATCTCACTATGCTTGTTTATTTTATTTATTAGTTTTGTTTGTACTGTTCTAATTTATAATGTGTATGATAATTGATATATTGTAATGTTTTTTCACACCATTTCATTGTTATCTAGGCCATGTAATATAGGCAAACATTTAACATGAATATAAAATGTTTGTCAATTGATATTTTAGCTTAAGTTAAATTATTATTAATTTCAGTACACGGTGACCAAGTGAAAACACGCAATTTCCACAATACAATTTGAACAATATATGTTGAATGTTGATGGTAATATTATTATGTATTTTTGACATAAAGTTCACTATAATAGCATTAAGTAACGTAAATAATAGCTTTATAAATAGTATAACACAATAAATATATTTACTTAAAATGATAAATATTAAAATTATAGTTTTTACAAAATAATAATTATTCATACGTAAATAGCGCAGGTACACTGAGGTAAACAATCGGTTTGTATGAGATTATAATTAGAGATGCATGTTCCTTAAGTTTTTATAGTAAATTTACCGGTAAGGAAAATTTACCTTTTTTAAACATAATTTTACTAAGAAAGGTTGTCTCGCGAGGTCATTACATAAAAGCTATCCTCTTATTTTCAAGCCTTGAAAATATGCAATAGTAATAAATAGATAATTAATTTTTTATAGATTTGAATATTGTACAAAAATATGTGAGTAAGAAATAATGAAAGGATAGATTGTTCAAACCCAATAAATTTGGGTTATTGATCATTGATTGAGTGGATTTTTTTTTTAAACATCGTTTTAGTAAAACTTTTACAAATATGCTTAAATTGGATAAATATCTACAAATTGAAAAACGGAAAAATGCCTACGATTTGTTTATTATGTTAACATACTGCATAGACTTGTCATATTTTGATATTTACGATATTTTGAGGAATGAACACTCTAAATATTTATAATATTATTTATGAAATCCATAAAATATTTAACAAACTTAACAAAAAAGAATTTCAACGTGCAGACATTAAAACGGTTAAACGGTTAATCATGAATATTTGTGTTCGTAATTAAAAATAGAAATATTCAAGAAAAAAATGTATTTAGCTCATGGTTAAAAATGATAAACATCAAATTAATTTTGAACTTTAATTAAAATATAAAATACCAACACTGGTAATAAGGAAATTAAATTTAACGACTTATGAGATAAATGTCAATAAATAGGTCACCGGTAATTTACCCAAAAAAATTTCTAAAAATTTGCATCTCTACCTATAATCTGCTTATATGATTTTTGGAAATATACACGCATATATAGAGCGGCAAAATTACTATTTTTTCGGTCAGATGTCTGGCAAATGATCGAAATGCTTCTGTGTCAATTTCAATGGCCTGGTCAGGTCAGGACTTTGATTGTTGCTCGGGATTTGTGGAAATAGCGTTGACGCTATGTTAACGTAGTGTGCGTTCTGTGAAAAAAAAACATGATGTTGTTCTGTAAGGTAATTATTCTAAATAATAATTGAAAGCTGTTTTTAATGAGTTTATTAGCTTTGTAGTTTTGTTCACACAATTTTAATAAGTGTACTGTGATGCTAATGACAATGCTTTAAGTTTGTGAATGAACTGATTGAAAAATTACGCATACAACAATTTGATAACCGAAACGATAGATACGCTAAAATGAAGATCAGGAAAGAAGACAATATTCTAGCATTTTTATTAACATTAGTAATTTATTTGATAATAATATAGGGTGTCTCAAAAAGAACGCCGGATTTAAATCTGCTATAAATTAAATTGATTTCTCTTAAAAAAACATATCAAATATATCATTCTCTCCAGGAGAAGTTTAGATTTAACAGTGAAAAACAATATCGGGCATATGACCCCCCCTACTAGCCCTGCAAGCGATTATTCTTTCCATAAAATGTACCATCACTCGATGCAAAGCGCATTATTTTCACCGATGAAGCTCATTTCCATTTAAACGGGCTCGTAAACAAGCAGAATTGTCGAATATGGGAATCTGAGAACCCAAGAGTGATCCAAGAAAAAAAATGCATCCTCAAAGAGTTAGGTTTGGTGTGGAATTTGGAGTGGGGGTTTGATCGGTCCGTACTTTTTCGAAAACGAAGAAGGAAATACTGTTACAGTGAATGGGGTTCGTTACCGTTCTATGCTTAGTAATTTTCTTTGGCCTCTGATTTGGCCTTTGATTTTTTCTTATGGGGATACACTAAGTCACGAGTTTACCAGAACAAAGTCCGAAATGTCTTGGAACTTAGGTAAAAAATTCGTCATGTCCTCAACGAACTTGATGGAGCAATGTGTGATGGTAAATTTTATGGTAAGAATAATCGCCTGTAGGGCTAACAACTAGTATATGCCCGATATTGTTTTTCACTGTTAAATCTAAACTTCTCCTGAAGAGAATGATATATTTGTTATGTTTTTTTAAGAGAAATCAATTTAATTTATAGCAGATTTAAATCCGGCGTTCTTTTTGAGACACCCTATAGAACATGAGTTAATTCTAAATGAAGAGTTCTCGTGTATAACAAATATCATATGAATTTCAATGAAAAACGAACTTAGGGCGTACAAAAATGTTGCGTTCTGAAAATATTTCTTAATCAATACTTTATAATTTAAAACGAGATAATGATTGTGTTTAGTTTATTATCTTGAAGGTTAGTCAGAATTAAAGTACTTTTATTGGTTCTATTTCAATTAAGAAATCTGTTGATGATATTTTTGGGAACCCAAAACCTATTGGAAATTTTAGTACAGCATTGGAATACGTTAAATACAATAAAAAGATAAGAATCATCGAGAAGAGCTTATTTAATACAATGGGCATTTTTTTTGGCGTCGATAAGAGTATTGTCATTACAACTTGGATACACCTAAAGATAAAATGGGTCTAGAAACATTTATATACGAATATATATCATTTCAAAGCTTTGAGTCACCTTTAAATATTATTTAGATTAAGTTCAAATGTTGACGTTTTCTTACTTTAACCCAAAATTTAAGATTGTTCGAATAAACAACAATTTTTTTTGGGGGGGGATCTAATATACTATATATATATAGTAGATATAATAGTAAATACCTTAGATTTTTCTCTGAACGTTTTGAGTTTTTCGAATTCGTACAAGTCACTTTCAGGGTATTTAAACGAGAAACCGTCAAAAAACGGATGCCGAAGCAGTTGATCACATGTCCATCTTCTCAATGGATCTTTTTCTAGGCACATCTAAAAAATAATAAAAATAAAAATAAAAAGTTATGTATTTATAAACATTAGTTAAAAATAATAATGTATTAACCCATTTATGGAGATTCTATAAAACTAAAACTTAAATACATGGGCATAAACTTAGAGTAAAGGTGTGAGAGAAGAGGGTTCCAAGATATTTTATATAAGTACAAAATGTCGCTTGGTCCTTTAACATAATAATTAAAATTACCAATGCATAACTACCAATAAAAGTTGTTAATTGTAGTCTGCCTTTTTTTTATCAGTTTTTATAATGAAAAATCCTACTGAAAATTCGTAAATCAATTATAAATAGATATGTTATTATTATTACCTTCGATTTATTCATCGTAGATAACGTTTAGAAAAATGTATTTGAGCACATTTATTTACATTACTTTTTAAACGGTTATCCACATACCAATTTGAAAAACGAACAGATTCCTTCAGTTATAACTTACAATTGTCTAATGCATTAACCGCCATATAAATTTTTAAGTCATCTTCATATAGTGAGAACCGGAATACACTATTTAAGTTTTTTAAAAAAATTTTTATTCGTATTTGTTAATAACTAATAAGAATAGCAATAAATAAAAACACAGGCATTATTGCTAGATAATACCGCGCAGGATAATTACCCAAAACTTAGATAAATACGTTTTTACCGTGTTAATTTCTTATAAATGATAACATCTTTCATGATTGGGATAAGACTCGTGTAAATGCTAAAGATAGGAAAATTTCGTTGTCTTGCAATCATGCCTGTTTATTTAGTCATACATAAGTAATAACAATAACAAAGGGGATAGGTTGATCTAAAATTTTGACTTGCTGAGTCTCCTACCCGTTAAAAAGGAACCTGACCACTATAATAATGGGCCACCAACACCAATAGTACTGAGTAGTAGTGTAAAATTATGGATATCGTATTCTATTTCTGTTGTCTCACAAGATTCGACTCTTTGGACAATGTACAAACTATTCATATCCGCTTCATAGTATACTATAATATGTTATTATTAAGCTAACCTGAAGATAGCCTAAGTTGAAACCACCATTTAGTTTTTATATATCATAAAATATTCATGGTGAAAGGTTTTACTCAAAGTTAATAAAATATTAATAATCATTAATCGTTTTAAAGGCCGATAATCAAAAATAACTATTACTCGTACCAAATATATTTTGATACAGATTTGCTCATCATTGCCTATCCAGAATATTTACCTTTAGGAAATCAAGCAGGTGTGGAATGGACAATGCTTCTTTAGGCAATTTCTTTTCAAGCGGTTCAACCGCTTCCGGATGTGGAAGGCTTATGCCTCGGAAGAACTCGTTCATTTTGAAAATATGCATGTGCCTGGCTATCAAATCGCCTACAGTAACAGTCGAAAATAAGTCGGTTAGCAAGCGATTGAGAAATCACACACACACAAACTTTGTTCTATTGAATAATTTAAATAAAAATAATAATTATTTATAGTACGCGAATTTAGCCGTTTTACTGTTGAAATTGGAAGTGGTCATTATGTGTCGTACATTCAAGAGATGTGTTGTATATTATTCTGCTGTCACATATTTTCCCTATATTAAGTCCTCTCTTTACTTGAATGCACATTAGCCATTTTTAACAATAAGACGGCTTGTCTGTGTATTATAATATCATTGTTGGAGCTAATTGATGTTAATGGACTTGTTTGTTATTTTACCTAGTGTAGAACGTATCAAATAAAGCTGGTCAACGTCAGATTTCCCTGGCCAGAGAGCTTCTCCCCTCACGAGCTCTGCTGATACACAACCTTAAAAAGTAAATTATAAAACTGTTATTTAAGTACAATATTGTTGTTTATATACCTAATAATAAAAAGTATGGTATTAAAAAATGATGTCGGGTACCACGGGTAGCCCATTGGGGAGGGGGTGGGGCAAAATGCGGCACTTGCTTTGACCTAAAAAAATAATAGTTCAATAAATATTACCATTACCATAAAAAAAATGTTTATGTGTTTTTGTTTGTTGAATTAGCATTAAACCTCCATTTAGCTTATTTTTTTGTATTCTATCCCCTCCAAACATTTTACTTATGGGCGCCCATGTGGTGTACTTATGTACATAATACATATTTTAATTATTGTTAAGCTTGAAATAACTGTTTTTCATTTTATTATTATATTTTTTAATGTTTAATTCTACACACTATCGCCACTCAACTAATAAACTACAATATTGTCAATTTGTTATACTTTTGTATATATTATGTACTATAAGAAACGCTGTGATGCTCACCAATCGCCCAAACGTCCACCGATGGGCCATATAGTGTATCGCCAACAAGGAGTTCCGGTGATCTATACCATCTGGTGGCCACATAATCAGTATAATTTTCTCCTGGACCTAAATACAAATACAATATTAAAAATATATTTATTTCAATTTTAAGCACTAGCCGTATAGTTTAAATGGATAAAATATTTATTTATTTACTGTAAGTTTTAAAGTTCAAATGAAGGAGTAACAAATTTATTTATGCTTTGGGATATAAAACCTGACCCCAATTATGTAGGTACACTGGAAAAAAATGAAATTAACTATTATGAGAATGTAGTTTAGGTTACAGGTAGTATATATCAGACGATCCCCGATAACGTAAGACACTCATTTTCTCAGAAAATATTATAATTTAGTAGTTTTTGTTTTTGAAAACATTTTTAATTATTTTATTCTTCAGTGCTATACATTTTTAAAATTATTTATCTTTTTTTAGTATTTTTCAGAACGCAATTAGCTTTTGAAATTAAAATAAACAAATAAATTTAATTAACTTTTTAAAATAAGAATATTTGTCTGAAAACTTTGTCTGGATAACCAGTTTTGAATAATTACTTTTAAAGTTATTAAAGTTTAAAGGTTAGGACAGTAGAAGGGTAAAGCGTAGAAGGTATTATTTATATCTGCGCCCATTTCTTTAAAAATTGTAATTATTTTTCATGAAAATTAGTGTCTAACGTTACGTAATGGATTTCCCTTTATTACATCAGAGTGCTAACTAAATTTAACCATTAAAAATAATTTTACTGTAACATTATTTATTGTTAAGTTACTGTTATAAGATGTTTATCAATGTATACGTAGGTATATATTAATAGATGTATATTTTTAGGAAGCCTAAAGACTATGAAACATTTGTTGAAAAAAGGTGTTTGTTTGAAATTTATATAAAAAAATTCTATTAATTTGAAACGTCATGAAAATAAAACTATTTCACGTGCGTTCATAAAAATCGTTAAATTGACCAGGAGAATTCAATATTTCTCATGTCAAAACTAAAAATTAATCAGAAAAAAATATAAACGGAAATAAATGTGTTGAGGTAATATACCGAAAGCATCTCAGTTCAATTATATTCTGAAGCAGTCATATGGATTCGTGGAAATATCAAAGTTCGAAATAATAAGTAGAAGAACGCAATAAATGAATTAAAATGTCCGATCCAAACACAGCATTGTAAGTGCTTATCTTTCTTTCCTATCGCAGTCGCCCAGATTTTCTCCTACTACTGATATTATTATGTAAGTCAATAATTATTTATTTAACAATAAATAACTATTAAATTAAATCTACAATTTTTCAAACAATTTGATGTAATCGAAACTTATAAAATTTTTATCGAGTTAGTAATTATAATAATAATAGTTAATATTATTTAGTGAAAAATCGAAATCATGTTACAATGCGCATTTTATTAACAAAAACAAATGTATCAGACAAATTAATTCTCACAGCTATGTTTTTCTTAGTATTCTGAAATACTTTTGCTTAATTTTAATAATTATAATTAAAAGATAAATATGCCTCTAAAGGGTGATTGGTTAATTATAGCCCAGTCAATCTTAGAAGTTATTAGACTTTTACAATTTTTTTTTATTGAACTTTCATATTATTTATACTATTAGTTGGGCCAAATTTGATATATATTTCAAGAATAACTTAAAAATTTTAAAAGGCAACCCCGATTTATATTTTGGTGAAAGTATGTATATATTTTTTAAAGTAACCTAGGCGTGAAAACTGGCTAAAGAGGTTAAGAAGTAAATATTACTACACAAATGTACTACTAAGGGCAACGCAGGAAATAAATTTATCATCTTGAAACTAGATATTCACTATTACATTAATGTAACACATATTTTCTCTCTGTAGACTGTAGTTATAAACAATCAACTATGACAACAGTTGTGTTTAAAAGTACCTAACCATCATAAACGTACCAGGTAAATTCATTGATAGTAAATATTAATTATGAAGTCTATAACAAGTTGGGATTTTCTTTTATAGCTATTTATTTAGTAGATGGATGATTAATATATTATTAGTATTAATTTGTATACTATATTAATGGTATGGGGAATTGGTGTGTCGTAAAATTCTTGTGTATATTATTCTCTATAGTTATTGGTTAATTTTACACTATTGGTTTGTACACATTTTCCTGATTATAGCAAATTTGACCCAACTAATAACTATAAAAGTATAATAAAAATGAATTTAAAAATTCAAATATTTTCTAAGATACTGACTGGGTCATAGTTAACCAACCAGTGTATATACCTCACTATACTATTATTGACTAATTTGACGTTATTACTGAAATTAAAAATAATAGTAAAGCTCACAAACGGAATTATTTTTCGGAACTTGTTTATTGTTTTTTCCCTAAATAATTTTTTCAGGAAAATCTTTCGCATCGCATATGACGGAAGCGTTGTTCACTTACTCATTAATCTGGCGAATCCGAAATCGCACAATTTCACCACGCCTTGGGCTGTAAGCAATATGTTTTCCGGTTTGATGTCTCTGTGTATACAGTTATGACGGTGGCAATAGGCGACGGCTTGCAATGTCTGCCAAACTATTTGCTTGGTAAACGCTTCAGAACAACCGTACGGATGCCTTTCCAGTTCGTGGAGCACCGTATGCTCGCAGAACTCAAACACCAGGTGCAGTTTTCGTTTCCGTCGGAATACTTCAAGCAAATTTACCAAATTCGGATGCTTCAACGTCTGAGGACAAACACGAGAATAATTAAATCTATTTTTACTAGTCGGGTCAACCTAATCGGCCAATCCAACTAAATAAATTGTTTATGATTATTAATTTTATAGAAGTTTTTGGGAACTTTTGTGCAACTTTGTGGGCACCTTTTTAGCTGTTTAGAATATTACATTGTCGATTGTTATAATAAAAAGCATTCTGTTCGGTACGCTAGTTTGTTAATTTTACCTTAAGCGATAGAATAGTCACTGCTGTTTGTTTGGTCAGGCTCTCAAAAGTTTCCTTTGCAATGTTATAGGCAAAATCGAGTAAAAGGCGCCAGCGTAGTATAATTACATACACAAAGCGCCGCGTTTTATGTATATCGATTTTTTAGAAATTTAATTTTAAAATCTTAAAACTTTCAATTAGAACATTGAGAGAAGATACCTAGGAGTTTATTACTTTCAAATCCTTTAACTTTTGTGTAGGTATATTTGTATGCATTTAACATCGTTTTAGTTTTAGCCACTGTCATCAGGCTATAGTGTTTAAGCAGTAGAAACTGTGTTATCAATATTTTAACTTCTACATCTTGAATATATTTATGATATCTAAATTGTATATTGTTAAAGTTCAGCTAAAATTAATCAAATGGCTGGATTTATTTTTTTTTTTTTTTGGGGGGGGGGGGTGTTTTTAATGTGCCAAGAGAAGTAAGTCCGTAATTTACACCTAAAACGAGAAGTATCAGTAATGACGTTGGAGTATATGTATTACTAGATTACTATTAGTGGATTCTAATAAAAGTATTTTATTCAATATTGTACTCGCCTTAAGCATTCGAATTTCCCGCAGAGCAATCTTTCTGATGAGCGGGTCGTCTTCGGATTCGACAAATTTTTTTATTGCCACCACTTGTCCATTTTCACGGTTTCGACACTTGAATACCATACCATAGCTCCCTTCTCCCAATTTTCCCAGACGCTCGTAGCGTTCCATTAATCTTAACTTAAAGCTGGATCCATGTCTAAACAGTAAATATACATTGGCATTTTAAACAAACAATAATGTGTTGTCTGTCGGATAAAACATTTTTTTTAAATAATGCAACTGGACTCGACCAAATCTAGTTTTATAGTTTAATCGATTAGAAGCAATTCTCATCTATAATTATTATAATAGTTTCAGATAATACTAAAAATATCTGAAACCTTAACGGTTAATAATAGACATTAATCGTTTGAGTAGTGTGATTAGTCAACATAACCAGTTTTGAACAATTATTCGTATGGGAAATTCGTACATAATATTTATTTTTACGCGCATTAATTAATCACTCTTTCTCAGCCGCTCATTCTTAAAAATACTGATAACTCCAAAAGTATATTTGCTGAAATCTGTTTATATAATATGTGTGTAACAATAAATAGATATATATATATTTTAATGATTAAATATATATATTTAAGAATTAGTTATTACTTATGATTTGTATATTTTAAACATCAAATTTACCATGACAAACTTTTAATTTCTGTCAGTTTTACTACTTTTGTGGCTTTATCGGTTTACTCCTTACCAAATTATCATACCACGCCTGAAGATGTTTACACATGCATAATATATTACAATCGATGGTAAAGAAGTAATACAGATATAGGACCGCGAAGAAGTCAGGCAAAGCAAATTTATTTTAGTATAACGAGTAACGTTCATAAATGTTACTATGAACAATTTACCGTCACTTTCACAGTTACTATCATGAATTTATTTATGTCCAAAATAAATTTGGTTCTTGTTGCAATAAATATGATCATTTTGTTTAATAATGTAATTAATAATAAATATTATTCTTTATGGCTTAATAAAGCTTACGCGGAACATAAATGACACGACTAAAAAACGTAAATTTTATGGTACAGCCCTTAATAAAACTTTGCTTTTAGTATACTTCATGTTGATAAATGTTTTTTTTAGCTTTACCGAACTACACTTGTGCGTTATTATATTGTGTATTTTGCTCAAGATGAATTTCCTCCTCCCCTCTTCCATTCTATTTCACGACGGCAACATTTGAACAGCATAAAAAGGGACGAACACAAAGGATGCATGTATACAGCAGCTGCAGCAAATCCCTACCAATATAAATAATGTTTAGTGAACAACGTAGAAGCAAATTAATTTAGGCGTTTCTCCATAATAACGTTTCTGGTTTAAGGGGAAGAGAAAAAGCTATTTATTAAGGGTAAAATATAGGACATTTGACATACATTTATCTAGGAGTCATTAAGGGTAAATATATTAATTTATGTTTTTCAAGTAACTTTACTCTTAAGTTAGCTTTCTCAGATTTATGGTGAAGGTTGTTACAAAATAATTTTTGTAGAAATCACTTTCTGTCGTATATCATTTTTTTGCGGAAAACTTAGTTTTTTTTTGGAAGCTAAAGGCTGTCTTTGATTTTATCCAAACGACTAAAATTTTGTTTCTTAGCTTTAAATTACACAAGAATTGTAAATATCATATTTCTACATTGTGATTTGATTTCATAGTTCATACGCTTATTAAACTTTAAAGCATCTAATCAGTGGCTATTTACATTAAATACCTAGTCAAGTTAAAATTCAATGGTAGAAGGCGTAGATAAAGTCATCCCATCGATTTTTTTAAATTATACATACTCATTTTAATGTTTGCCATAACAGTTTATAGTTTTAAAACTAACTCTTACATTGCTTGACCTATTTCCTCTTACCATTTTTATTAATTCACGTTAAGCATCCAGTTATTATATATTTTAATCAATAATTATGCTGCAATGTAGGGGATTTATCAGTGCCGCAACTACCGCCGGTGCAGGCGGTGCATCGCACCGCCAGACAAGCCTCCGGGTTATGTTTAAGGGGCCTCATATTTATGAAGACATAACAATTTAAGTCTAAACATTCATTTCTTAAAACAAGGTTTAAACAATTTTTAGTATTCGATTGTGTATTTTTAATGATGACACTTGAATATCTACATTGGCCATTGGATTTAAAATTGATAAATTTTATTTTGTTTCTGTAGTTATCGATATTATGATTATATGACCACTCGATAGCCAAACGTGTGTCGTATAAATAAAGGCTATAAATATTTATATAAAAATTAAATGGAGACCAAACACAGATAACCACCTTATTTAAGAAAAAAAACTATTCCATTTATTTCCATGTATTATCTAATAACAGGAGTGATAAGTTTCCAAAACTATATATAGATTTATTGTATTATAATACTATCTACGCGCCCGCACCCAGCCGCTGCACATCTATTGGACTAAAAAAAAAATTGAATCATTTGAGTTTATTTTATTACTAACAATCTGGGAAAATATATTAAGGAACTTCCATTTAGTATCTAAAAAATTACAGAGCCCAAATACAAATCTTCATGATGCATGTACATTTTTAAAGGAGGCTTCTTCTTCTATTATAAGTTTAAGGGATCATTATAAAGAGCTAGTTGCTTCTGCAAGTGAGCAATGTAATAAGTGGAATATACCAATCCAAAAAACTATTCGTCGCCGTGTGTATTCAAAAAAGATTTTTGGTGATGTTGCCGGTGATAGAAGATTCGATAGTTCTGAAGACAATCTTCGTGTGATGGTTTTTTTACCAGTTATAGATACAGCAATTTTACAACTTCAAGAAAGATTCAAAGGATTATTATTTAAAGGATTATTTGAGGTTACTAAAAGATTTGAATTTCTGGTACCGCATAATATATTATCATTTAGTGAAGAAGATATCACAAAAGCATCTTAGGACTTTCAAATATTTTACAAACATGATTTAAGTAGTGATATAACAAGGCAAATTCTATCCCTTAAATCTATATTAAAGGATTCATTAAAAAATTTACATTGTATTAAACACCTTTTACAATGTATTTTAGAAAATGATATGGCCTCTATGTACAATGATATTTTTAGTGCATGTATCATATTTATAACATTGCCAGTTACTGTAGCCAATGCAGAAAGATCGTTTTCAAAATTAAAAATCATAAAAAACTACTTAAGAAATTCAATGTCTCAAGATCGCCTGATAAACATAAGTATTTTAAATATTGAACGAGGAAGAACAAAAGAATTGGATATAAACAAAATAATTCAAATATTTGCTACTAAAAAAGCAAGAAAACAAAATTTTCTTAAATAAACCAAAATTGAATTATAATTATTGTTACATACATTTTTTTTTTTGACATGTTATAACTTATACACATATTTAAATCATCATATGTTTCAAGATTTTTTTGTTTTTGTAATAAACTGATTTATACACGTATGTAACAAGTATAAAGGTAATTAAAAAAAAAAGTATTCAAGCGTTTAAGTTGAAGCTACCTGCCAATTATAGTTCAGCTCTTATTAAGATTAAGTAAGTATTAAATAGGGTTTAACTTTAGTTTTATAATTGGGGACCCTACAAAACTTTGGGTGAGCATTATAGTAAATAGGGGCCTCTAAAATCAGCCTGCACCGGGGCCTCTATAATGGTAGTTGCGGCACTGGGATTTATTAAGAATAAGACACTCATTTTTTCTTAACGTTTTTTTTAATAATTAAGTTTAAAGTTATTCAAGTTTAAAAATTAAAGCGGGAGGTGATTATTGATAAGCAATGCGTGCACATAAAAATAATACTACTCTTTACCCTTCCTCCGCCCTAAATTTTAAACTTTAGTAACATCAAAAATAATAATTATTAAATAATTCTTTATTTAATAAGTGGAAAAAATATATAGGTTACCAGTTAAGTTTCATAAATAGAGTTCTGGAATTTATCGATAAGAAAAAATTTCAATATTGTGTAATATTGTAAAAAAAGCAAATTAAAATGAGTGTCTAACATTAAATGGATCGCATTTACAATTGTTTAAAATGTAGCAGAAATTGTATGTTACTACACAGATTTATAAAACCGTATTAACATCAAATACTACTAGACTACACAAATAATATAGTAAGATAATTAATTTTTCACTCTTGGCGAGTTGAACTAATACAACTAGAGCAGTTTGTAAATAATATTATCATAATAATTTTTTGTTCGAAAAAAGGCATAATTAATTTTAATTTTAATTTTTTTATATTTGTGTACGTAAGTGTGGCTATATATACGCTTGAAACATAATATATTAATATAATCCACCTGGTGTACTTTTATCTCTAATATGCAACATATAAGCTTGGTGCACGTTCATAAGTATAAGCTGAAAATCAGCGTAATTTTCCAAAGTAAAATATGTGCTACTTACACATACAGATAGGTGGAATATAATTAAGTGTATTACCTTCGTGGAAGTAGAGGTAAATTATTACCATACAGCCACAGACTTTTGTCGGTTAAGCATTCACCCATATAAGTGTACAGGAATGACTGTACGATGTTGTGTAATGTCGTTGGTGACGGTGGCGATAACAACAAAAAAATAATAATAACAAAACTCCTTCACGACACAATAGCGTAAATCAATACTATCGATTGTCGGTCGTCGTGGTTTTTGTTTTTACTAAACATATTACAGTAATTTTATGTTGTATAAATTATGCACTAGAAACGTGTGTAATTATTTTCTACTACCGAACAAAAAGCACACATATTATTATTATACCAACAGCATTTACAAACGGTACCTACACGTAACTTAATAATGTATACTTGCATATAGATGTTGTATAAAATATAAGTGTATTAGTAGTTAGTACTATGAAATACTCTGTGTAACGTTTAACGAGAAAACTGATTTTTTTATTTCTATTGTTTTTTATTTTTTTAATATACATTATACATAATTATTAATATACGGGGAAAAGATTTTATTGACTTTAGTCTTTACCTCATTGCCCCTTTGATATAATATGACAAACGATAATGGAAGAATAAAAAAAAATAATTTAATACTATCCATAGAAAAAAGCATGTAGTATGTATGCAATTGGCTGTCAAATGCGATAAAAACAGTGCCCCTTTCTAAAAACCATAAGTATAATAACCGATAACCCAATTTTCATTTTTCATAACAGTGTTATTAGCAAAATTAAAAATTATGTTATGACTTCCTTTCATTGATCTCATTAAAGGAAGTCCACATTTCATTATTTTTAACATACACCGCACACATATATTTAAATATACAATTGGAGGGCTGCGGGGAAAAACGACCATAGTCAATATACCCAAAGTTTTCAGTATTGCAGTTTAAAGTTTCCAGAACTCAAAAGACTCGGAGATTTAGTATAAGATAACGCACATAAAATATTATTGATCTTTAACTATCTTTATTGATAAGTTTATTTACAAAATAATCAAATTTAATAATCTAAATTTTAGAAAAAAATCGAATAAAAAAAATGGCGAGTGATTATGATTGTTTTTCCTATCAGCCCTTCAATTATTTATATATATATAATTGAAGGGCTGATGGGAAAAACGATCATAATCACTCACCATTTTTTTATATATATATTATTAATATAAATATTAGGGTGGTCCTTAAAAAGTAGAGTTTCGAATTTTTTAGAACCTCACGTGAAAACTTCAGTAGAGACCAATATCCATTTTGTACGGAACAAATAAATAATACCTACAAAAAATATTGATTTCTAAATATATAAAAAAAATCCTTAATAAATAAATTCTATTTTTAATAACGTAAATAATAAAATAAAATTATATTATGTTTAATACAGTTATCGTTTTTATATCACCTTAGATTTATAAATATTTTCTATAGAATTTTAGATAAATGTATACTTTTTTTTTCTAACACTTATTCTTTTCAGCTTTAACCAAATGCACTACCCTAAATACATAAGTAGAACAACAATAAATGTAAAAATGCTATTGTAGGACAGCTGTACCTATATATATATACATACACTATGTTGTATGTACCTATATATATATACATACACTATGTAGTATGTGCCATTACAATAGTGCATAAACCTGAAAAATATAACAATAGCAGCTGGAAAATGTATGGTATTAGAAAAACAACTTGGCATAGGTATTACTCGTATTTATTTAAATTTCTCAAGGGTTTGCGTATGATGTTTTACAGATGTTTTTTTTATAGATGACGTAAGTGTAAGAGGCGGATAGACTGAAAGTATATTTTCCATATACGTTTACATAATTAATCTACTCAGTGCAGTTTAATCTACATGTATAAATGTACATGTTTAATTAGTTTTTAACTAAAAATAAATATATTCACCTTTGTAACGAAAAGTAAAAAAGTAATATTTACTTTGATGGTTGTATAATATAAAAAAAGTATAATATTTTTATAGTTAATTAAAATACTTTATTAATTATTGTACAGCAATTTATAATTCGGCAGTAAACATTGGTTGTCACTTGTCATAAGGAAACGTTTACATAATTTTATAACTTAATGGCCTAATCTGAATACAAATCAGCGTTTGGTTTATCATAAACAATTATAGCATACTGGCTAATGACCTCAGAAGTCGAGGCCCTTATTATAGTAATAAAAAAAAAACAATTATAGCATAATATATACCTAGTTTAGTGTGACTATTGTTATAACACACTCAAATCATGCATTGTTTATTCATTTATCACAACAATATAAGTACCATCCAACATGGACACAACTTGGCAAATATGAATGTATAAAATACTATTTATGTAGGCTTGTTTTAAAAACTAAACAAATCCGTGTAAGCGTAGGAAGTTTGGCCATTTCGAGCTTGGCCACAGCACTTAGTATGACCCCATATATTGCGGTTTTTATTAGTTGTTTGGAGTTTTTGGAATCCGAGCCTCTATAACTTGAACCCAAAATGTACAATCACAATACCCTTGACTACGCCTGTATTATACTTTATGTATACATACGTATCTACGGTCTACCATCTACACGAATGCAATAAAATTCAAAATGTGCTGTTCTACTATAGTGATATGATTTCTATTAGCTATAGCTGTTTTAAGAATAATAAAAGTACCTAATGTAACGTTACAAGCCTGTTATGTTTTCATTAAACACTTTTGTTGATTTATGTTGGTGCAGTGAATCAAGTAGTGTTATTTTATTTGTGATACAGAAATAACAAACAAAAAAGACGAGTATCCATATAATACTTACGATAGGTTTTTTTAATGATCAACGCAACACTAAACTTGTACTCAATCTAGGCATGTACTTTATCCATACATAATCTCCATAATAAGGTGTATTGTAATAATAATAATAAGTCTATTTTGAATTGGATTGGTAAAAGCGGCTACAACTCATGTCGATATTATACATCTTAAGAACAATACATATTTTAGAGATATTAGCAGTATGATTGTGAATTTTCTGAACCGTTTAAATGGCTGATTGTGCGGACTACAGTAATGTCAGTTCATATATTGGTTTTCATCAATCAATTTAGTGATTATTGACAATTGCGGATGGTCATTTTTTGAATCTACTAATCATTATATGGATGTATATTCATAAAAAGACGGGAAACCCACTTCGACGTTTATTGATTTTTTTCAGTATCAGTAATAAACATATAATAGGTTAGTAAGAAAACCGTTGCATGTTTTTTCGGCTGTCCTTTTGATGCTCTTGGTTCTAGATTAATCAATTGTTCTAAATATATCTAATTTTATCCAATGTATTTAAATGTATTTCCCGACAGACAAAACAAATATTATAGTTTTAAGGTACTTAAGGTCTGAAAATTAGACTGAAGATAGATGTAGAGTGTGACTATAACATCTGCAATTTTCTTGAAAATCTGTTGTTAAACTTTTTTTTATAGGAAATACCTCAAAAAAAACTTTACTTAAAAATACTTACACCGAAGTAAATTTCCAGGCAGCTAGGTACTAGTGAATGAATCAACGGGTATTTGAATTTATTACAAACTATAAAGTTTGTAGCAATAATAATGAGAATAATAATGGAAATTATATTTCTTTTTTCTCCAAATAAAGGCAACAGCTATTATCTTCTGCTCACTATGTGTGTTATTGACGGGGAATGGGGATAGGATAAAAAAAAATACTTATTACGCTTCAAGAATAAACATTTAATCATGGATACGTTTTTTGGGCTTAGAAAACGTTTTTCTTAAGGTGGCGAGGAGAGGGGAATTGGAGATAAGAGGCGAGGAGAATAGAAGAGAAGATGGATGGGGAACGGTAACGTGAAATTAATGACGCAAAAAAAACTTTGTTTATCCAGTCCAAAACATATCCATATTAAGAAATATAAAAAATGATTTCACTTTGCACCGGCTTCGTATTGTGTTGTTTAAGATGGTAAGTTGTCTGTCGTTGAATAATGCTGATACCTACTAAATCATAAATAATAACACATAGGTATTATTTATTATAATGCGGAATAGAATTTTGCACACGACCCGAACACAACTGTAAATTCGCTTTTTTAGGTCTAAAGCATCCCTTTATTGAAATCGGCACAATACTTCTCATATGAAAATCATGGAGTTTGAGAGAAAACTGTAGTAGATTAAGAATAAAACTAAGAAACAAAATTTTCACATAATATAGACAACAACATTGACTGTGTTCTACCATCGCCCTTTTTATAATATTCAACCAGTTAATAAATAATAAATTAATTTAAAAAAGGACTTATTTTACTTATTTTAAAAATGATATAGCGTTGGCTGTATTAGGTATATCGAAAAAATACGGATGATGGAACACAGATAATTTTGTCATAAATTGTATGTATGAATTAGTTTCCTTAACTATATAATAAAACCAGAGAAAAATTAATTCGTGTAAGACTCGAATTTTAGGATAATTAATTTTAAAGATGTTGTGATAGTCCGAAAAATAATTTAACTACTAAATAAGAGTCCTAACTACTGAACTTATATTTACACATCACAGTTTAACCTTTAAGTTAAGATTTTGTAAAAAATTGCCTACACTTTAGTCCTTAAAAATAAGCAGTGTGGCGTCCTCTTAAAGTATTCGGTTTTATATTTTATCCATAAATCTTAATATTATAGGTAAACAAAATACAAATTTTAATCAAATAATAGTCAAAAATATATAATTGTATTGAACAATTAACACCTACTGACCGTTAAATAATTATCATGCATAATAATTAATTATTATTATACATTAACACAATATATCAACGCTTATAGTAAAATGTTAAATATAAGCTTTTGAAAAATTATATTATACCACGAGTTCTTATTTCAACTATAGTCCAAATCAAATAGTTGTATTTTATCGCAAAAACGTATTATATTTTGACAGGTTTATTATAAATAGACAGGTTACATATCTCGATAGTACCATAATATGTAAAACATTTACTATAATTGAAGAGTGAAATTTAGAATTAAACGTTTATTATACTTTTTTTCAGATACGTAATGTAATTTTTAAATTCAACTTTTAAGATGTAATAATTTTTGTTAATAATGAAAATTGTCAAACAGTTATAAATGAAATGCACAGTTTTAATAGACGTTGTAATTAAGTAGTAGGTACCTGCTTATAAAAATATAATAGCATAATACAACTGAGACACTTGGTGAAGTAGTTGACTTAAAAAGTTTGCATTTAAAAATAAACGAGTAATTGTTGCTTAGATCTATGACGACCATATGCGTAAAAATCAGAATGGACTACGGTACATTTTCCTACATACATTAGTTTGGTGAAAAATCGTTGGCGCACATTATACAATTCTTGCCGATTATAGGGTGAAACGTTTGCGCACATTGTTATATTTTTATTTCGGGTTAGACCTTTTTTCCGGGTCATAATCGACCGATGGTTTCCGTTTTCAGCCAAAATGACCCTTAAACATTATTATCGTGCCCGTTTTACGCTAAAAGTTATATTACTATTTCCGCTATAATACTCGTACATTAAAATTTGGTAGGTACTTAAATTTGTTTAAGAACCCCTGAACCTAAAACTATTAAATCTTACGGTATAAGCGAGTTATAACCAGTTCATAAAAATGTTAGCCATATTTACATTTTTTAGGGCACCTCCACTCACTGAACTGGAAAAAAATTGCAAAGCTAACGTAGTGAAGAACACAACACTTTAACGTTTAAAAGTATTTTAATAATTCCTTATTTGAATTAATAGTTTTCTATATAGTTATTGTAAAAAAAGCACACCATTTTTAAACCTGCCTGTCTATGGCATTATAATTAAGTCGGCAGAAAGTCTAAGTGTTTTAAATGGTGAAGGAAAATTTTTTATGTGTAATGTTTCAAAGTTATAACACAGTAAACTATATAAATTAATATTTTAGTGTTATGTCTGCCTGGAAATGAACGCAAACAACTATATTTATCTGAAAATAAGGTTTCTATTGTAAATAGCTGAAAATTAAGAAAATAATATTTTTAAATTAATTTTGTTTGATAAACTTTATTGTAATGTATACTTGTAAAAAAACTATATAATGTATACATATTAGCTGTGTTTATTATAGTTAAAGCATATAGTATAAATACACCAATTGATACATTTATCATACTAATCATTGCCATAGAGTGGAAAAAAATACAAAAATAAAGTTAACAAAATTTCATATCAACATAATAAACAAATGAAAGAAAATGGATTTAATGAATATACCTAATATTTAAAGAAGAAAAAAGCACAAAAAATAATAAATAAAAATTGTGTTACAAAATAAATAAATAATAAAAACAATATTTTTACAACTAAATTAAAGACAGTGGTAAGAAGTAATAAAAAAATTTAGTTTCGAAGTAAACAAATTGTATCATATTTTAGTTATCAAATTATATATTAAAATATCAATAAGCTAGGATTAAAAATCAATATAGTATTATGTTATAGTATAATGTTATCTAATGTATACCTATTACATAATTAGTGAGAATAGTTGTTTATATTTTAAAAGATTAAAAATAAATAAATAAAATGATTCCACAGTATTTTAAAAGGAAAAATGAACGGTCTTTTAAAATTTTAATTAGAACAAGTCTTTAAAATTATTGAACAACTAAATACTAAACAACAGATTGCATACTTAACTTTTAAGCTATTTTAGTATTTAAACATTTAAGTACACCAGTTTATTTTTACCTAGATTAAAAATTATAAAAGAATCCAACTGGATAAAAGCTTTTCAAATAATATAGTAGAAAAACCATTACCAGAATAATTAGTTAAGTACTCCAAAGCATTTAATACTGCATTCATTATAAGCAAAATACGTTTAAAATGTATGATCTTTGTATAATAAACAAAGAAATGTGTAGATGTTATTAGTTTTTCTATTGATAAAAATATTTGTTTTTAATATAAAATTATAAGTTTACAGTAGTCAACCAAATTTGTTTTTAAAAATACGATCCATATATATATTGTAAAATTTACAATTCATACATGACGTTTAACTTTTTAATGCTTCTAAGCGGTTTTTCATATCTTCCAAGTCATCATTATCTTCATCGACTGATTCTGTTCTTGTCTCCTGTGGTTGAACTGATCCACCGGGTGTTTCTGTGACAGCCATTGGTGCCTCACCTAATGCTCCTGCCGTAATTTCCCATAATACCTTAAATAATTTTTACAAGTGAATTATTTAATGTTAAAGAGTCAAAAGGTAAGTGTCCCATGGACAATTTTTCTTTTTTGGACAGTTCTCTTTAAAACTATTTTATTTGTCTCAAAGAAAATATCGGTCGACAATTTTATTTTTAAACGACTAATTTTGAAGGAAAAAAAGGCTTAAATGCTTAATCAGTGAGTAAATATGAAGTTTGTACAAAACTTTATCTGGACTTTTGTCGAAAAGTACGGAAAATTACCTTATCAATTTGTGATTGGGCTTCTTCCTCCATATCTTCTGGGTCATCCATAACACTTTCCATAGTGTCATCTAACATTTCTTCAATAATTCCAGCCTAAAAACAAAATTATTAAAATAATATCAATACTCTACTATGTTTAAATTGTTTAAACCTAACCTTCATCATTTCTTTTGACAATTCTCTCATAGTAGCTGCAACTTCAGGCACTTTGATCAAGCTATGCATTGTTTGCATTACTTCTGTTGATTTTTGTAAGGATCCAGCCATCCTTAAAACAGCTAAAAAATAAATTTAAATAAAACATAATGTTTATTGATTCAACAAGAGAATAATGTTAACAGCTATTTATTTACCATACAGTAAAATTGGATTCTATGATTCTGATCTTTTATTAAATTATATAAAAATGTAATGACTCAACAATTTATACAAATTAATTTCAAATAAGACTAGATTTGTTTGTGGATAAAAAGTGGGCGGAGCATTAGGATAATATATATGTATAATATAGTTAATGGAATAGTCATACATTTTGTGAGATAAATATTTTTTATTATCAAAATATAGTATCATAATTTTCATGGGTTGTTCTTCTAAATGTATTAAAACAAATTTAAATGAACTTCATTCGTACAACATCATGTGCAGTACATATTCATTTCTCAACAAACCATATCCAAATGGCTACTTAACAATGGTTAGTAATGGTTATCGTGCGGACTCAGAATGTGTTGTAACGTAACAGAATAGGTTGTATCTCGTACTTTGATAAAATCAGTGTAAATAGTTTACCTATTCAAATAACTAAATAAAACAATAAAATTGAAGAATTTGTCTGTTTGTTCAGGCTATTCCTGAAACGGCTGAACCGATTGTGATATGAATAAAATTGCAGTTAACAGCTAGTAATAAATATAAGTAATTAAAAACAATAAATGTTTAAATTTTATAAACATATATTTATGTGTATTGTGTATATATATATATATATATATATATATAAATGAGTTGCTTTATTTAATTATGAGTTATTTTAATTAAAACTAAATCAATTACATACACCACCATAGTAATTTGTTATGAAAAAGTAGACGAGAGGGCTGCTCGTAATTAGTATAACGAACGCCCACTATGTCGATATCGGCGACCTTTAAACGTCTGAAACTTCAAAACTAAGCTTTTCCGTACATTTTTTTTTTGCACCATCGTTTTCAGAATTGAAAAACAAATCAATTGAAAAAAAAACGAAATTCGGGCGTGGGGTGGTAAAGTGCATTTAAGCCAAAGTATTAGTTCATATTATGTGTAGAGATGAATATGAGATTAATAATTAATTACTGATAGCATCTAAGGAAGCCAAACTCAATAAATGCACTCTAAAGATAAGAACGAATATACATTTTAAGTCTTATCAAGTTGGGTGCAGTTGTTTTGGAGGAGATAGCAATAATAAAATGCCATTCAATTGGGGAAAAAATATGCTCCGCTTTGCGTCTTGAGAAGTAACATAAAGCGTTTTTCATACACAATACGTAACAGTTATTATAATTTAAAAGTAACTTACTCGAAGACATTATCTTTTGATCATAGTCATCAAACATGTTTATTTAAATGTGCTAATAATATGCCATAGTGAAATATACTATTTAACTCACATAATTGGTTTTTCATTTGCATTTGTATAGAATTCAGATGAGTCTTGGATGTAATTATTTTGTTAATGGTTTTACGAGATCTTATCACTTCTTTGGCAAGGATTACGCATACATCTTTGTTGCCTTTTTTGGCAGCTTCCTTCAGAGAACGTTTTATCTTTTCTTCTTCTCTTTGAATACCTTAAATAAAATGTATTAATATTTAATTGTAAAGAGTTGAATTTGAATGACAACTATGCAGCTAGAAGCCTGTTTTGTTCTAGAGTGCAATCAAGGAGAAGGGCTAATAAGCCGGATCTGTCTTAACACATTAAACAAACAGAACCCCTATGAACTACCTCTTATTTGCCTGTCCAACTTGTATCCTTCCTTCCGTACAGTCGACGTCCACTGTTTAACCTAAATACAAATATAGTCGGTTTAGTCGTTGGAAAATAATGCAAACTGAACAACTCACTTGATCTTTGGGATCGACGGTGGTAGATTTGCCGAATATACCCATCTCGTAGGATTTTGAGTTAAATGTTTATAAATTTTTACGCTAACACATATTTACGCAGCGTATCTTGTCTATGGAGTGTATTGACTATTGAACAGTTTTATCACAGAATAAATAATAATATTATTCGGTGGTTTTATCATAAATTGGTAATTTTACTGTAGTACAACAAAATACCGTTAGATAGCAGGCTAATATTAATTTGGATAATCAACTAAAATAATACATAGACCTATAAATAAATTTATCTTTATAGGTCTATGAAATAATATGATGAATGTGATATAAATTATCGACCACCACCACGCACACCAAGGTTATAGATGAATAATAAATCTATTACTATAACTTCGCACAAAAAACATTTTGTTCCAAATTCCAATTTTTGAAGTAAATGTATCACAAAAACTGACAATTGTATTTTTATAGTTTTTGTATATCATTTCTACACAATAATATAGGTAGTTCAAGTTACACATTTTATGTTATTTCACTTGGTCACATCTTGCACATATCAGTTTTTGCATGACAAATCACAAAGACGATATTTATGTCGTTGCTCCGGAATTTAAAATCTTCTTAAATCGATTTTCCTTTCCTAATCTGCTCTCTGAGTAATATCTATGTATTCTTCATTCGCTCCTCAAACGGTTAAGTTTAGAGTATAAAATCAATAAGTACCTATAATTCAATTAATATCTCTTTAACCACACGCGCCGGTGTATTTTGTACAATAAACTTTTATTAAATTGTTTTTTGCGCTTATTTTATGTATATTTCTAAATTATATTTATTTAATTTTAATTTATATATTTATTTTACGTTATTTATTACTTTAATAAACACAGTTTTCCTTAATTTAGTTTTAAAAGATCATTCCATGATTTGAAAGTAGAAATTTTTAATTTTCATTGCATATAAATTCATTACGACAATTTGTTATTATCTCATTCACCAAATTAAAGATAGTGTTTAAATTTTTTTTTCTATTGAACTAGCAGGTCACGACACCAGTCTTCTTAATTTTTACTGGGGGCTGTCAGGAATAATTATTGGTCCAGTAATGAAAAGATTACTGGATTAGGATGACTATTCAGTTTCAAAAACATTTGTTTTAATTTGACAGTAGACATTTTTAGGTTTTTATGAATAAATTGATTGGAAACATAAGGTGGGGGATTTTATAAAAATTACATAGGACTTTGGATCGGAGTCTTTAAATACGGTTAGTGTTAGAGATTTCAGCAGCTCCCTACAGCTGTATGCTGTATGATCAGATGGGTCTTAACAGTAATCTGTAGAGCTATAGGTTGGTAGGTATTTTATATGTTAGTAGCGGGTGAAGAAGACGAAATCTATCATAAAGTAACTTTATTTTACTAGTTATGTGAGGCAGCCAAGTCGACGAACAATGATGATATCAAGGTAGTGCACGCACTGAGCATTAGAGGCAAGTCATTAAGAAATAGTGTAGGACATATTCCATGACAAAGTGTAAAAGTACAATGCGTGGACTTGGCTTTCTTCGTTTTTACACCCCATTCTTCCCAATTTTCGAGAAGATTGAGGTGGTCTTGAACATAGATAGAGGCTAGGATAGTGTCAGGATTGCTGGGTATTATTGCTTTGTCGTCAGCAAAGTCATAAACTGTAAGTTAATGTTGGCTGATCTGATATAAATAAGTTAAAGAGTAGAGTATATTAACGTACAGTATACAGTAGAGTACAGTATACGTAACATTCATTTTTTTTTTTTTTTACAAAACACTGTCAATAAATGAATAGGTACACCGTCCACAACAAATTAATTTTATTTAACTACCTAGGTAATTTATGAACTATGTTCCTATAATATAATTCTGTTCTACATTATACATTTCATATGCAGTTTCCTCGTGATGAGTAGGATCAAATTCAGTGCCAATGTAATCAATTTCCAATTGAAATGGTCCGTCAGCTCGATCAGAAACTGTGATACCAAAATGACTAATTTTAGCTAATGGTAGTGGCGCTTGTGAATCTTGAATACGTCCTTTACTAGCAAAAAAGAATTTGGAAAAAGGTATCTGAAAATAAAAGATAAATTTACATTAAACAATTATTATGTTTGATATTTATATTTGTACTATAAAACTAAAAATAAAATTAATCTAAAATCTATGATTTATCATTTATATCATTTATTTCTGGATTACCTTAACTGTTTGCCAATAAGGACCGCCTCGTGTGTACAACACAAATGAAAAGACATCGTTCCACAAAATATCATATTGTCCAGAAATGTGGATATTTAGAAGATAGCTTCGTCCATCACCTCTTACTCGCATATTAAGGTGAGTATAAGGATTCCAATCCAAATAAGAGTTTAATTGAAATGCCCTCTATAAAAAATGTTTTTTTTATTATGTTTTATTCAACAACCTTAAAATATATTTACACAATGAAATTATAGTTTTCAAAATGTTATTTATTTATAAAAATTGAAGCTTAGTTTCTTTCTCAAATTTTCAAAAAGTACTCAATCTTAGTTTTCTCTGATAGGGTAAATATGAGACGAATATTTAAGGTATAATCAGCATAACTTAAAAAATGATTATTTATCCGATTTAGACAATCTGATCTACAATCAAGTGACAAAGTAATGACACCATATTTCAACTTTGTATTCTATAAAAGAGAGGGTTAAACAATTATATAATGTGGATAGACATGTAGGAAAGTTGAAGTTTGAGGAATTACATTGAAAAGCCAATAGTTGCATTGCATTAGCAACTACTTGGTCTATAAGGCTGGAAAGAAAGTGAAGGAACAAACACAATTAACAAAACCTAAGTCACACACTTTAGTGGCTCTTGGCACACTATTGAGTCAATAAACAAGCCAGTTAACTTCCCAAATGTGATGAAAGGACATACATTTGAATTTTTCGACATTTAAAGATAGACCAATATTACTACACCAGGATAAAAATTTAATTTTAATTTAAACTTCTTGTAAGAAAAAACAATCATTTATAGATGTAATTCAATACAATTTTTTTGATTTATCAGCAAATAGAAAAATTAGACAGGGTTTAATAACTTAGAATACCGTGTATTAAATAGGTACATAATACATTAATAACAAAGGATAAGGATAAGTGGCCGTCTTGTGGGACACAAGACGTTACTGAAAATGTATTAGAAGTTATAGAATGTAGATTAACAAATTGGCGACCCTCTGTTAAGTATGTTTCGAAACTATGATAGAAGAGGCTTGCCTACATTAGCTGTCTAGAATGTAAATAATCCATAATAACAATAATATTGATGGTAATTAAGAACACCAAAAAGTAATTTTGAAATCTCTATGACAAATACCTGCCAAACCAGCCGAGAAAATGATACAAAAATAAATTAATAAATTAGCTTATAGATTTTATACTAAATAAAAATTTACTGTGACTCGTTTGGTAATTATATTGCAGTAACCAGAGTTTTGCATTCTTCCATCTTTAGGTACTCTTGAGCACAAGTTTCCACAGAACAGACCATATCCTTGATGGCTTAGTTTTAATTCACATTTACTAAATCCTTCAGCGTGGTCACTATCACTTGTTACAATCCAATGGTTCAGTGATGACTCTTTGCCAAATTTCCAAAATACATCAATTTCACCTAGAATTACAGTATAATGGCAGTTTAATATTGTAAGAGTAGTGTAAAATTAATTTTTGTAAAAATGTATGTGATAAATATTGCAATATTTATTATACAATGATTTTTAAAGGCCCCTCATTGAAATGTTATATTCACCAGAATATATATGTAATTAATATTTATAGATCTCCAATTACATAGATTGGAGGATCTATGTATTTTTTTAAGCTGGGTGATAGTGAAGTCAAATTTTTCAGATAGACAATCACATTCAAGATGAAGAAAATCTTTATTTACTTTAAATTTTCTCAAAAGGGAATAACTGATAAATATATAAAAAATGTTTTTTTATATTTTGTTTATTTAACCCTATGTTGGTAGTTGAATGTTACTTATTATGGGGGAATAATAAAAAAATACATATACCTATTAAAGAAACTTTGGACAATGTATAATATGTTTTAATAATAATTTATATTGAATATTAAATACCTGCCCTATAGTCGAGAATAGGATCAGCTTCCCAAGTTTCTTTTAACTCTTCTTTCCATTGTTTTATTTCTTGTTTTAACTGTCTGAGGCCAATGCGTATTCTATCAATTCGTTTATCAGCCACATTGAATCCCGTGTCATAACCACTGCGTCTGTCATACTCGTGAAATTCAAACACTGGATTTGAGGTATGCAAATATCTTTGTGGATTGCAATTCCAAATCCTGTTCCCCACAAGAACAGTGGCAGATATGCCTTTCCAACAATACTGTGGTAAAAAGTAGGAAAGTTGTTTTCCACACTGCATTTTAATAGTTAATCACGTAATTTACTTTAAAAATGTTTTTCCAATACGTCATGGGAGGAAACGCGGATTTGAAATAAGCTGTGGAATCCGTGTTTAAATGTCATTTTAACATGGACATCTAACATTACACAAAATAATAAATATGGCATATGCTGTACGTATATATGTATTTATTATATTTTATATCATTTAATTTTTACAGTATTAGATGATTACACCACAGAATAACAGATAACATTATCTTAAATTGTACTATCACAGAATAGATAACACTACCACATTTAAATTATGGAAGGAGGTTGTCAAAACACAATATTGATAAAAGTACAATTTTTTTCTGCCGCCTTAATCTATTTGGATTTTGTCCACTTCGACTCATATTTTAGTTATAGACTATAGTATAAGACGTATTAGTTGAAATAAATCAGAAATCTACGTTCTGTGGCGTTTCTGGACTTATGTTTATATTTTAGATATATACAATTATGAAAGTTAAGATTTTAACACGAAACCCCGATAACTATATGCGAGAAACAAAACGAGACATTCAAAAAGGTATGAATTTCATTACAGTTCTAAATAATAATTAAATATTAATTACATATTCATTGTCTCAATGTTTTTTAACTGTTCATAAAAATGATTTCAAATTTGTTGTTTTGTTATTATTAGTTGTTGAGGTATAACTTTTAAAACAGCTAGTATTGTTGTAATTGTTTTATTTTCAGTGCCTCGAAATTATGACCCAAACCTTCACCCTTTTCAATCATCACGAGAGTATGTTCGTGCTCTTAATGCAGTTAAATTAGAAAGAGTATTTGCTAAACCATTTATTGGTAACTTGGATGGTCATCGTGATGGAATCTTTTGCATGGCTAAACACCCTAAATCTTTATCAACAATTGCAAGTGGTTCTTATGATGGAGAAGTGCGCCTATGGAATTTATCTAGAAAAAAATGTGTTAATACTGTTAACGGGCATGAACGATTTGTTCGTGGTTTATGTTTCAATATTGATGGTACTAGTTTACTTAGTGTAGGAGACGACTCCACAATAAAAGTATGGAATACAGAAGAAGAATTTGAGACACCATCTCACACTTTTATATCACAGGTATATATGGTAATTTAATGTTAATAAATACCAACTAGAATGTTGAAAAATAACTTTTTGAATATAATTGACATTATTAAAATGTCTCAAACCTTTAATCGTGATAATTAAATGATGTTTATATATCGCTACTTTTTTACTAATTGAACATTTTTGCTTAAAATGTAGTAAATAACTGATTAAAGCCAAGTACAAGGGCTGGTATACATTGAGATGCAGACAACAAGTGCAGCATAGAGCAGTAAACCGTGTGGTGAACATAATGTGATGCAGGCTGATATAGGTGAAATACTAATCTGACTTTTACTATTCTTCAATATGTGCTCGTAAGTTCAAACTGGTAGGTCACAGAAAACTTCACTGCAATGCACTATGTTGCCTACATCTCAATGTGCATACAACCTTAGGGTTAGCTCACATTGTGGTATAAAAGGCCAATTAATTTATCAACATTTTAAGTTAGCTTGTTTTGGTTTTTAATTGTATGGGGTTGAACACATATGGACATGGCATGGTCAATAGGCTATCGCTACTAACCACTGTGGTTATTTGTCGGGGATCAAGGAGCAATGGAAACAGCTTGACTTCAGGTGCTGAGTGTCATCGTAGTAGCCACTTTACAACACCATGCCCCTATTTTTTAATTTTATAAATTTTATTATATATTTTATTTTTTAATTTTAATTTTATAATTGTGACGAGGTTGATTACGAGGGAATGTAGAATTAATCTAACGTTAACATAAACCAAATACTATAACATATTATCAATTTAGATTGTACCACAGCTATCTTCCTACGCTAATTAAGTCAAATGGGAGAAATACTAATGCTTATGTAATCTATATATTTAATGTATTGTGATTTACCAATTTTAATTTTAAATCGAAAATGGCTTTAAAAAAAAAATGGTAATTTGTATTCATTTTTCAATTTGATGTGTGTCGATTATTGTATAGATTGTTATTGATCAAATATCATTGAATAACCCTTATTTGTAATATTTAAAGTAATCATAATGAATAATCCAAGAAATTTTATTTCAATTTTTAGTCTGTTCTTTACGGTATAAGTCACAAATGGTTGGATGACAAAGTTTTTGCGACATGCGGTGATGCTGTACAGTTATGGGATATAACTCGTAGTCAACCTACCTCAGTTTTAAAATGGGGTGTAGATAGCTTGCATCATATTGCTTTTAATCAAGTTGATACTCACGTTTTAGGTAACTATTAAAAGAACAACTAAATAACATAATTATTAATTTTAATTAGTAACACCTTACACTGTTATTGACGCTTTATTTTATATTAAACAATTTAAATATGCTAATAGTAATGACAAGCAAATGAAGTTTTGAGTAAAAATAAATAGGCCTTGTTTTGCTCCTGTTTTTACAATTTGTATGATAATTTATTCTATGATTTTAACCATAATAGTAATGATTGTTGTGTTGATATTATGAATAGCTTCATGTGCAAGTGATCGTAGTATTATTCTTTACGATACCAGAGAAGTAAAACCTATGAGAAAAGTAGTAATGAAGCTAAAGTCAAATCAGTTAGCTTGGAATCCTATGGAAGCATTCAATTTTACTGTCGCTAATGAAGATTATAAGTAATTTCCAATATTTATCATACAATTTTTTTTTTTTATTCAACATTCAATTTTATTATTACAGTTGTTATTCATATGATACAAGAAATTTAAAACGGCCAGTTAATGTGCATATGGATCATGTATCTGCTGTAACATGTATAGATTATGCTCCGACAGGACTTGAATTTGTAACTGGAAGTTATGATAAATCTGTTAGAATTTATGAAAGCACTAGTGTAATGATTTTTTTTTTTAACAAAAAATAAAATAAGTATTTTAATATTTAAACATATTTTAGGGACATTCCAGAGAAATTTACCACACTAAGCGTATGCAACATTTAACTAGTGTTATCTGGTCATTGGACAATAAATATGTTTTAAGTGCATCGGATGAAATGAATATAAGAATATGGAAAGCTAATGCATCAGAAAAATTGGGAATTGTCAGTATTCAGCTGAATACAATTTATGTTGTGTGATATTTTTTAACTAAAATTATTAATATAATATACATTTTAGTTAAGACCCCGTGAAGAGAGAGCTAAAGCTTATAATGCTACATTGAAAGAGAAATTCGCTGCTCATCCTCAAATAAAGAGAATAGCAAGACATAGACAAATACCAAAACATATTTATCATGAACGTGAACAACAATTAGAATCCAGAAAAAAAATCAGAAGAAAGTATGTAAATAATAATTATATTGGATTACATTTTTCTAAATCGTGTAATGTTTTTTTCAGGGAAGAAAATATTCGTAGACACTCTAAAAAGGATACTGTGCCTTTTGTTTCTGAAAAAGAAAAACACGTTATTGCAGAAGTGTATTAAAATATTTTTTCTTTTGATTTTTGTTACTGTTACTATCAGTTTAGTATACTAATTATTTAAAAAATGACATTGTTTTTATAATTTTTAATAATCTATCCTTTAATAAATCATGAACCGAATGTTTATTGTTATTAAACATGAGGGTACAATTACATGACATAATATGTATTCAACCAGTTACATTACTTGGACAATCTCATATTAATAACTAGTTTAGATTTTAACCATATGCATAATGGTTTATGTGTACACATAAATATATGTGCTAATACTTAGTATTTGAAGGTATACTGTTCTGATTCATTAGATAGGTGTTCCTTGGCTTTAGTGGTTTGCACTGGGTGCTAATTGCGGGCCGGGGACCATAGGCGGACTTAGGGGTGGCCTAAAGAGGCATTAGCCCCCCAATATGTGATTTAGCCCCCCACCCCCGAACCAATTGGTGTTTTTATTTTAGTATATTCTTATTTAATTTTCTATTACCTAAAAAACCATTTTTTTTTTAAATGTGCCTTTTTTTATACATATTTTAATACTTAGTTTTTCTTTAGACTAGTTGGATAACGTTTGATTGTGGGTTATGTGTCATTTTACACAAGACAACTTCTAATGTTTTATTATTCTGGCGGCTGACCGCCAACCATCTAGTGGCAAGACCTATTGGGAGGGTGGGGTGAAGGGTTGTTATTGTCATTGTAGACTACTTTTCCACAGCTAAGTATAAACAAATACAAAATATAAACATTGTATTTATATATATATATATATATAAATACTTTTTAATACATGAAAATACATGAAATATTTTTAATACATGAAAAATATTTCAGTTTGTTTTGGCAAGTGGAGCTTGTTATATACGTAAGTTGAACTATAATTACTATAGTAAATTAAAACACAAAAATTTTACAGTAGGTATTATTTTAAAGGATAAATGTTTAAGATAACTTTTAGAAGTCAAATTTTAACCTAAATATTTAATTCATCCATTAAGTATAGTGAAACCAAAAACTGGTTTGTAATGTATTAAATAATTTTTGTGTTATTTGATTTTTAAATTATAGACGAAGTAAGTGGATGGAAATAATAGTATTCTAGCCCTTTTCGCACCTCGTCGAGAAAAAAAAAGACAAAATATAGCATATATATGCCACATATACTTAAAGTGGAAAATTTACGAAAAATAAAGATATTGTAGACTACATTAGTGTCTAAATATTGTCTGGGACTATAGCCCCTCAAAAATCAACCCCTAAGTCCGCCTATGCAAGTATTTCACTAATGCAATACTTGTATCATTGCCTTATAGTATATTAAAACCAAATGTATTGGCAAAGATGTGCCACTGTTTTTAATTCTGTAGTGTAAACTCTGTAAAATTTTGAATTATTTCTTTTTAATATTTAGGAGTGTTCTATGTCACAGTGAATATGTTTTTAACATGTCTTGTCTGTCACGCGCAAACCATATATTTAAAAATCTGCATGTATGATCTTATTAACAGATAATTTTTAGGTAGTTAAGTACAGATGCAGATCTAGAAATTACACATAGAAGGTGACCAATATTTTTGAATATATTGTAATGTGTTAAATTGAGTTAACAATAAACTATAAATATACTATAAATTATAGTTAATAAAAAAATTAAAATGTTAAGAAGTATAAAATATTTTTTTTTAATAAAACATTTATGTTCTTTAGGCACACGCGGCGATTTTCATGCGATGTAATTTGTGTGCGATTTGAGCGACTAGAAGTCCACCATCACAAAGCGATTACATGCAATACTCTATAGAGTATAGAATATACTATTAATCCGTTTAATTCTCTTAGAAAGTCAAACCCCTCAAAGTTCTTAACAAAAAAATGAGAACATTTCGTGTATTTTTTATTGAATTATAAAACATTGGCAGCTCCAGTCATTGGCTAGACATTTATTTTTATAACATCTGTGATTAGTTCGCAGAAAATTGTAATAATAATAATAATAATATACATTGCATGTGTGCATGTATGCACATATAAAAATATGCAATATATGCACTAATATGCAGTGTAGGGTTCTGGTCTATTCTGATGATTGACGTGCGATTGGTGCAACGTGATTGCTATGCGATCAGCACACCCAGTCGCATGAGTCGTTTGTCACGCATTATAGAATCGCGCCGTTAGTGGGTCCTCACTCAATTATATATTATGCAGTCTTTTAAGGGAAAAAATGTGTCGCATGACAATCGTCTCCTGTGCGGAAGACCTTATTATAACATTTACTTATGTATTTGTATAAATTGATAAGACACTAACTTTTGAAGGACAACATAATCTGTGGCTATTATTTTACACAATTAAATTAATTTTAAAGTCTGGTTAAGTAGGTACTAGTAAAAAAAAAAAAATGTATAGAAAACTGTTTAATAATATTTTTAAATTATTTTCTTATATAATATTTTATTCTTAGAAAGGGTCCAATTTCATCAATTAACTTAAAGAAAACTAAACACAATTTTTTTTTTTGAATTGAGTTATTTTTTCCACAACAAATGAAATATTTTTGTAAAATGATTGTCCAGTTTAAAAAAACATTTAACTTGGAACTTTTTTTAGAAAATATGATTTTTTGCCTAGAACTTTATCTGGAACTGTTATATATAAAAAAAAATAGTAAAATGATGCCCAGCTCCGTATCGAAACTGTAAATATATAATATAATAATTAAAGAATACTTCATAATGAAAAGCTATTTCAAAATTTGAATAAATTAAGTAAATATAGTTATATTTCGGTGGTTTTTCCTTTTGTAACTAACGCAATTAATGTTTCTACTCTGCTTTTTACAAAATTTACTTGCATTTGTAATGTATCAGTGAATATATTCTGGTCATTGCGGTGTTCTTCTAATAACAGTAGAATTTCATCATATTTATGACATGTTTGGAGAACTTTGCTCATTAATGTCATTATCCTACACTATAAAACACAAACACATTTACTTATTTTATTAAATATTTAAGTACAATGTACCTATCACAAAGTAGTTCAAATATTATTTGGTTTTAAGTTAACAAAAAATAAATGTACCGTATGTGAACTTTCGGCTTCTGCAAAACACACACTTTCAAATTTTTTTATTTTCCAACTTAGTGTATCAATTCTTTTTTCCATATTGGACACCTGTAATACAATTTATACTCTCCGTTGATAGAATTAAGTACAGTTTTGATTATTGGTTTTACACTTACTACATGTTCTAGGTGGTTTATAACGTCATCCATCTTTAAGTATGAAACTTCTATTATTATATTACAGTTTTGTAAACGTATAACTAGATAGTATAGTTAGTAATAAATTAATAACTAATAATTAAATTCCATTATAAACATAAAATAAATCTACATTACTATTTGCTTAATACAGAATGCTAATTTAAGTATTTACTCAATATCAACATTTAAATTATGATTAATATTGATAATAAATTCATTATTTCATAATTCATGCTATGATAAATTTCCCGCCAAAAACACTTTACTGGGTTATTACATAATGTTGTATTAGTTACATCATAGATGACTGTTTTTGAAATTTTAATTTCATTCCAAAAATGATGATAAATTCAATATAAAGAATAAAAAAAACTACTGAGATCAAAATTAACTATTCAATTTTTTTTTACTACGATACAATAAATCGTGGAGTAAGATAAATAGTATTAATTGTTAATTAATATTTAAAGAGGGTAACCGGTAAACAGACACCGGTAGATCGCCAGTCAACTTATTGTTCTAATATGCCGCCGACAGGATAGTAGCTAATGTGCATATCCATACATTATTATAGAATAATATTATATATCTATTAAGATTTATATTACTCTATGGTCTATGCAAAATTTTCAAGAATGAAAAATAATACGTATCGATACGTTCCTGATACGAACTAGAATGTTACGGTACGTTACAGCGGTACACCTGTGATAATATTACAGATTAAATGAAACGGTTCTTATCTGTGATATTATTCTTGTGATATTATTGGCCAATTTTATAATTTATATACGTTTTTGGCACAGACTATATGAAATAGTAATTTTCATCTATATAATCTGTGTTTTTGGTAAGATCCGTTGTCGGGCGTATTTACGTATATTATAATCTATGACGACGGTCAATGGTAAATTGTGATTTTTATTACATTACCCGTTGTATCTATAAAAATTGTCGATACTGATTTCGATATTATCATTTTGATACTCGGTGTTGGATACTTGGATACAAGAGGCCACACTACATTTTTAGTTTCTAATTTCTCTCACGGCCAGTGTTTTATATTCATGCCTAAACCAGACCCTTGTAAATCTTTGGCTTGCGCGATTCAAAAGTGCTTGTCTGGTAAGATATTTGTATGTATTTTTAGTATTATTTATCATTGTTCATATACATACAAGAAAAATGCCTTAGTTTCTGTTTACTACCTCCTTATATAAGATGGAGTATAGTCTAGATTTGTTTAGTCATAATTAAAACAATTTTCACTATTTGTTATTATTCTGTATTTACTTGATATTTACATTAGTATGTGTCATTTACTAAATTAATACATATCATTACTTTATAAATACTATAAGTAATTTTTTTAAAGTATATTTAAATAATTTGCCTACGTTAATTATAAAATAGTTGATATAAATCACCAATATGAACTGTTTTACAGAGAACGATTTTCAAGAATCTCGCTGTACCAAACAAATACAAAATCTTCGAGAGTGTTGTAAAACGTTCTATAATGTTTCACTTGTATGCTCAGGCATGAAACCTGCTTCTACTATTGATGATGAAAAAAAAACAGTAAGGAAACATCACAAGTTAATCTATCTTGTAATCATATTAGTTAAATGGCCATGTGTTTGTGTAACACATTAAGTTAAAATGGCTGTATCAATTTCGATGCAGTCTTTTCCAATTTGTAGCTCATACATTGGACGGTGCCTAAGACTATTTAATAATTTGACTAATAATTATAGTAGCATATAAGATAATATATTGAGTAATATAGTATGTTATTTTGAGAAATATAAAGCTGGGCTAATATATATAATAGTTAAAATATTCTTTTAATTGTATAACTTTGGCTTGAAGAAAGTAGGATGATAAATTTATCTTTATATATCTACACAAATATTTTGAAAAAACACTCCATTTACATGGTAAACAGGAATGGTTTAATGTAATAAATATTTGTAGTAATGGTAATTGGTAAGGTACACATTCAGTATTGATAAATTTAATTTTGAATTTGGTTAACTTCTATTTAGATTGATGGATAGTGAAAAATCAGAATGATGATAAATGCCAATAAAACCTATATTATATTGGGAATTATACCTTGTGCAACTATCAATTTTTACATTGTTTTTTTTTGTTGTATTGAATAATATGGAGAAACTTGAATTCAGATGAATAAAAAGTAAATGTACGACTTTTTATGAAGAAGCTTTGGTTGGACTCTTTAGTCATTATATTGAGAATAAAACTGATTTCAAAGTTTATACATTTTTTGATATTCATATAATTAGTTCTCTAAGTAATATATATTTTTTCAAACTGAATTTGTGTGTTATAAAAAATAAATTAAGAAAAAATAGTAAGTATTTTGAAAAAATTAAAGGCTTGTGAAAAGGAATGGAATTACTTAGTATTTAAATTTATGATAAATTTGACTTGATGTAGAATAATATTGCCGTCCTAACCAGTCAGTTTTTCACAAAATAAATTTGATAAATTTGTATTTTGTTTATTTGCCTATCTAATGTTAGATGTTATGTTCAATTATTGTGTGCAGTGGTAAGTTATAAGAAGTTTTCAAAAAATTGACTGCTAACTATACCTAGGAATAACGTGTTTGTTTCTGCGTTGGTATAGTTTTTTAGACAAACATTTTTGGAACAGATTATTAGATTAAAATGAAAAGATAACATTGCATAAATTAATTTAATATTTGTTCAGTGTATTGGGGACCAAAATATTTGAAAAACAAAAAGATCTGTACCTAATGCTGCATTGTTAATGAAAATGAGTTCATTTAATTTTCTTTCTTTAGGTTCTCAAGTAATATGTCAAACCAATACCGGCAAGCACAAAAAAACAGCTTTCAAAAATTCACAGAAAGAAAATTATTGAAAGAACTGCCTTTTTACAGAAGACATCCAAGAGTATTGTGATTATTGGAAGTACACTGCGCATCTTGATTTTGTTTAGTAGAGGATTGTATGATATTTTCAGACCTAACACTTCAACGACAGTTAGTCAAGAAAATCAATATCACTTACGTTTACAAGAAACTTTCTAAAAAGAGTAAGTTGTTATCAGTGTCCAGAGAAATAAACGTCTGGTACCAAATACAATTTCAGAGCATTTTGCAAAAAAATTTAAACTACAACACTAATGTATACAAATATTTTGTCGGGACATTTTTATTTGATGAATTTCCTGAAATTAATAGATTAATTAATTTTTGAAAAATTATATTAATTTTATCAGTGTACACAATTTAGTTTTTGAAAAACAAATAGCAGTATTATGGGTTACCAAAATAGAGATCAATTAGCTAAATGTTATATAAGTCTATAAACTTCTGATTTTAAAAAGTTGAAAGTTGAAACAATAATTTTAAATGAAATCGCACAAGAATAGTTTTTAGAGAGGGTTAGCAAATGTTTTGATAGTCGATTATCTAAAAAGTAAAAAATGGAATTGTATTTGACCGTAACAATTTTTGTAAACACGTCTTAAGCAATATATGTATTTAAATAGTTAGTAGTATTTATTAATGTTTTGTATAATATTCTATTACACAAATGTAGCATAAGGGGGCATGTTAACGAATTGCTACATAGCTAAAAATCAAAAACAATAGTCATATTTATTGTTAAATTAATAAAATTAGTTTAACTGTATAACAGCACCTACATACAGAGGTTCAACTTAATGCATTTTATTAATTGTATTATTTAACTTAGACATTAAAGACATAAAGAGATTAAATCAGAAAAACCTGATAATCTGTCTAATTCGGACTCGTAAAAATTAAATCATTGCTTAGTCAAAACAATTTTTTTTATATTTTTCAAAGCACTAAAATACTATATTTATAATAATTTAATTTTTCTATTTACAAAAAATATTTTTTAATCATTATAATGTTTGATCAGCTGTAAGATTATTCATTATTATCAGTTGATACATGTATAATTTTTTTGTAACAATAGCTCTTGATTGGTAACTTTTATAGCCATAAGGATACTATAACTTATGCTATTTTACATAATACATTCAATCAATTTGATATTATATTTTAATTCCAATGCTTAACAACTAAATAAACATTTTAGATATTTATGACTATGATGCTAAGGGGAGCACTACAGACCCACTCAGCTACTCGTTTGAGTATTCTCAAGAATACTCTGATTTCAGAAACAACTCAACATTTTAAATAATTTATTTTTTGAAAATTTTAAGTATAGAAAATTGGAATGTGAAACATTTTTTTGTTTAAAAATTAAATATTTTCTTAATGGCATATACCAAAGTATAAGAGCACTAGCAAATAGTTTCATTCTATAATTTGATAAATGATAATTTATTTAGTAGTAAATTTCTCGTATAATATTTTTATCAATCAACTACTGTTGTGTTTTGAAAACGTTTTAATAAGTACATTTTTTGTGTTGTATGCCTTAGTTATTCAAAATAAATGTTGACGCCAATTGTGTAGGCATCCCACTCACCCTTGGCATGTGTCTTGATTTAATTTCCCAATAATAAATATAGTAATGAGAATTCTATCATTTTTTTTAGAAATTAACACGAATAATACAAATAAAGTTATGGATGCTGTTAACAAAGCAAAATTGCGCTTCAAGAAATATCCTGATCTACTATTAGCATGTCGTGTTGAAGGCTTCAAGTATGCTACATGTATCGTTCAAAGTGAAAAAGACCTCAAATTAAACTCCTGTAAAGACGAGTTTGTGAAATTTCATCAGTGTTTAATAGCTAACTCATTGAAGCATCGAATCAAAATATAGTCTTGATGTAAACATTTTTTTTAAAAATACTGATAGTTTAGTTTAAATAATATGCATTTTCTGTGGCATATAGTTTTTGGTTTTTTGATAAGAACATTATTAATTGTTTTTGCTCAGTGGTATGATAGAGACGATAATGGTGTACATTATACTGACATTGATTACAAAGTTTTTACTGATGCAGCTCAACATATGTGGTATGGCGAATCTCCTTATATGAGACCAACTTACAGGTATACACCTCTAATAGCTGCACTTTTAATGCCTAATATATTTTTACATCCCTGTTGGGGAAAGTTATTGTTTTCTGTATTTGATTTAGCCATCGTTACTGTTATACGCCAAATAGTATCAAAGTCACATTCTAAATATAAAAATTATTGCGCATATCTTTGGCTGTACAATCCTCTAAGTATTATCATATCAACTCGTGGGAACGCAGACTCGATATCCTGTTTTTTGGTTCTTGTGACGTTATTAGCACATATTGAAGAGAATTATGTCATTTCTGCAGTACTTTTTGCACTGTCTGTACATGTACGCATGTATCCCATTATATTTGGGCTCTCATTTTATTTATCAATTGAGAATGGGGCCACATCAACTTCCCGCTTTCAAGTAGTCTATAATAGCTTGTTCCCATCAAAAAAGAGAATTCTGTTTGCAATAGTATTTATTGTATCAGTAATTTTAATAACCTGGCCTTGTTATTTTCTGTATGGTCAACAATTTTTGGATGACTCGTATTTGTATCATATACGTCGGTTGGATGTACGTCATAACTTTTCTGTATATTTTTATTTGAATTACTTATTATCAAGTTCTGATCAAGTACAAATCTTATACAGTTTATTGACCAAAATAAGTCCTTTAATATTGATAATAGCTATATCATTTAAATTTGGTCAAATTGAAGATTTACCATTCTGTCAATTTTGTCTATGTTTTGTTATGGTCACCTACAATACAGTTGTAACTTCACAATACTTTATTTGGTTTGTTTCATTTATGCCTGTATTTTTTCTTCATTTGAACTTTACAGCTGTTGAATGTTTTAATATCATATTAGTTTGGGTAATGCCTCAAGTTGGATGGCTTGCATTTGCTTATTTGTTAGAGTTTATGGGTATAAATACATTTTACTTACTTTGGGTTCAATCATTAATGTTCTTCATCAATAATATTATTATTGTATCACTGGCTATTGTACGTTATAAGTGTAATAAAATAAAAAAAATATTGTAAATTTACACTTATTGTTCATAAATAAAATGTATGTTATGTATTTGTAAAATACTTTATTTTTGGTGCTTTTAATATGTAATTAGATTTTTTTTTAGTTGTACAAGGTTTAGAAGTTAACAAAAATATTGTATAGTGAATTTCGATCACCTATGTTATAGGTATGTGTGTAAAAAATATGTTAACTTTTTTTTTATCAACGATTTCTAAATGGACCAGTTAATTGGTAACTTATGGGGTACAACGGAACTTCTGAGACTTTATAGTACCCTGACCATCCTTTTTTTTTAATCCTCACTTGGATCCTTTGCGTTCCGGGGGGTCCTTGCCTGGTGGGGCATTACTTGCCCCCGGATCGCCAATGCTCTTTATTGAACATGGTTGGTCTGGCGTGTGATATTATTATATTATATACTATTGTTACCCGCCGATAACGGCCTACCCGATCAGTACGTACTAAGACGACAACGCGCACAGTAACCTCGCCGTACCGACGTATTAATATGTAATATTATTTATTATAAACAATACAGTCCATATTATAATTATTGAGTTATTCAATCAAAGTCTAACCCAACCATTTGGTCCTTCGGGCCGGATATTTGCATGTTTGTTATTTGTATTAGTCGTTTTTTAAGTGCATTTTTTTCGCTCGGTTCTCGAGTGCGTTGTCGAAGTGATTAAGCTCGTTTCGCTTACAATTTCGACGTGATTAAGCTCGTTTTTGCTTATAAGTTCAAAGTGTTTTTTTTCTCTTTTTGTTAAGCTCGTTTTGCTTACAACATCGAAATACTAAGCTCGTATGGTTTACAGGTTTGACTTATTTTAAGCTCGTTCGCTTATAAACCTAAAGTGCTTTAAGCTCGTTTGGCTTACATATCAAGTTGGATACCTTGTTGGAGAAAATTTAAGGTCAGATCCAATTCATTTAAACTATATTTTTTATTGTTTTTCTTTCTCTGCATGTTATAAAAAGAAAACAACGCGATTATTATTATAGCAGTACCGGGTTTTTTTTCTTTCGCTTTATCGTTACACAACGCTCGATACGTTTGCTAGAAGCTATATTTTTTGCGTAATTTCCTTGAACCAATATGTCGGAAATAGCCTCACTAACTCTTCGTCGCGGTACGTTCAAGGGCCATATGACTCGTTTTTTAAATTACGTAAAAAACAAGATAATTCTGGTAATGTTGATATTGAGCAACTAAGTATTCGAAAAGAGAAGGCAGAAATAGAATAGCATGGCAAATAGAATGGCAGGATTTTGAACAGATCCAGTCTGAGATAGAGGAACATGGTGAATTCTGAAACTGAAAACTATCGAGCGGAAATGGAGGATATATTTTATGAGGCTCTGGCTATTTATGAAAGAATTGTACAAAAGCATAATCCTCCAAAGAACGAAAATTCATCCCAAAATGGCGAAAACCTATTTTCAAATAGTTCCGTTCGTTCAAATTCGCAGTATGTTCCTTCGGTCGTTAAATTAGCAGCTGTTGAAATACCAAAATTCACCGGTATGCTTTCCGAATGGACATCATTTAAGGATATGTTTATTGCATTGGTTCATAATAATGATGCGCTAAATGATGTTCAAAACATTTTTTATTTACGCTCTTCACTTGGTGGTAAAAAGTCGTCAGTGTTACCCGACCACAGCTGATAATTATAACTTAGCGTGGAAAAGTTTAAAGGATAGGTACGATAATAATAAACTTTTGGTACTAGCTCATACTAAAGCATTGTTTGACTTGGAACCTGTTCGATATGAATCAGCTGAGCTTATACGCAAATTATATGACACAGCGTCTGGTCATATAAATGCTCTTGATGTGCTAGGCCATAGTCCCAGATCATGGGGTCTAGCGATTTTATATATCATTACATCGAAGTTAGATTCGAATAGTATTCGTCAGTGGGAAATAGAATCGTCCCGATCAGAAATAGCGCCTTTAAGGGAACTTCTCGATTTTTTGCAGTCTCGGTTTCGAATGTTGGAGTCAGTGGAATCTGCAACGAAAGCGCATCAGTTGGATAGTTGGCGCAATAATTCAAACCCAAAAAAAGAACGTAAGTCAACTTCGTTATTTGTTAGCGATGGAATACAATGTTATTCATGTAAACAACCGCATACAATTTATCGCTGTCCGAGTTTTTTTAAAAATGTCCGTTCAAAATCGAATAAAAAGAATATCGGAATTAAAAAATTGTAAAATTTGCTTAGGATCTCATCCCGAAAAAGTATGTAAGGCCAGGAGGTGCGCAAAGTGCGGGCGAGATCATAATAGCTTATTACATTTGCCTCGTATCGATAATAATATTAATAGGACGGAATCGCATATAGATAGTAACACGACAGTAGAAGAAAATGATAAAACAGCAGTATCTGTAAACGCACACACTTATCAGGGTAATAACAATAACAGTTCCGTGTTATTAGCGACTGCCGTAGTTTATGCTATTAACAGTGTCGGTGAACCTGTATTATGCCGTGTATTGTTAGATTTCGGTTCACAAAACAATTTTATTACTGATTCAATGGCTAATTATCTGAAATTGAAAAGAAAAAGAATATCGTATTCAGTTTACGGCATAAATAAATCTAACCATAACATTACCCATCAATTGTCAACAAAAATAAAATCTCGCGTTTCAAATTATGAAATTAATTTAAATTGTCTAGCCTTGCCAAAATTAACTGGTCGTTTACCCTTGTTTTCTATTGATCCGTCTAAATAAAAAATACTCGATGATGTTTTATTAGCGGATCCTTCGTTCAGCTCGCCACAGAAGATCGACATGTTAATAGGCGCAGAAGTGTTTTTTGAATTGATGTGTACTGGTCAGCTAAAACCTATAAAGCGCGGTCCTATAGTCCAAAATACTAATTTCGGATGGGTGGTATCGGGACCAGTTCCAAACTCAGTCGAGGGATCAATAAATAAGGTTTTATCGCTCTATACCAGTAACTCTGATACCAATATTTCTTTTTCGTCCAGTTTGGAAGAAAAAATCGTTAAATTTTGGCAGTTAGAAGAAGTAAAAAATACGACAGTGTACAGTCTGGATGAAAGGCTGTGTAAGAAGATTTTTGAGCGAAGCGTTAAGCGCGACGTCGACGGTCGATTTATAGTGTCACTTCCCTTAAAAGATAGCCCGACTTTAGGAAAATCTTATAATATTGCTTTACGCCGTTTTTTAAGCTTAGAAAGACGATTACAACGCGATTCGGAACTTAAAATCAATTATACTCGATTTATGGACGAGTATATGGCGTTAGGTCATATGGAGCCGGTTTCTGATGAACAAACTATCAATAGCCGTTGTTATTATATACCCCACCACGCGGTCCATAAAGAGAGTGTCACTACGAAATTAAGAGTAGTTTTTGACGGGTCGTGTAAATCCGATAATGGAGTTAGCTTAAACGAAGTTCTTTTAAAAGGTCCATGTATTCAACAAGATTTATTTTATATTATGGCGCGATTTCGTACACATAAATTCGTTTTGACCGCGGATATAGCAAAAATGTATCGCCAAATATGGGTTGCCGAGCACCATCGCGATTTGCAACGTATTCTTTGGCGTACCAGTCCGGACGAACCTATTCAGATATTTCGTTTAAAACCCGTTACTTATGGTATAATAACTTCTTCTTTTTTGGCCACTGCATGTTTGTAAAAAATATCTGAAGAAAAAGGTATTGAATTTCCGTACGCTTGTCGGGTTTTAAGTCGAGATTTTTATATGGACGACCTACTCACAGGAGCAAACACTCTTCAGGACGCATTAATATTGCGTGATTAACTTTTATCAATTTTGGCAGAGTTTGGGTTTGAGCTGCGGCAGTGGTCCAGTAATAGTATTGATTTATTAGAAGGCGTCCAAGTAGCGACATCTTTGTCTGAAAATGATACAGACAAAAATGTAAAAAAAATATTAGGCGTGTATTGGGATCGAGAGAATGACACGTATAAATATCGGGTACAATATTATGATAATTAATCTACGATAACAAAGAGAACAGTTCTATCTGAAATTGCAGCGATTTTCGACCCTCTAGGGCTAATTAGTCTCATTAAAATTAGATAAAAAATTATTTTGTAGAAGCTCTGGGTATTAAAGGGAGAATGGGACGAACCAGTTCCTTGTGAACTTCAGAGCGAATGGAAAAAGTATCGAGGCTCACTCGAAGCGATTAACTGTTTGTCAATCGATAGATTCATTTTTGTTTCGGGAGAAATAACTGATATTCAATTATATGGATTTTCAGAAGATTTTCAGTAGAAGCGTACGGTGCGTGTTTATACGCACGGACAGTTAATACGGCCGGACAGATTACCGTTAGATTGTTATGTGTCAAATCACGCGTTGCTCCTTTAAAAGTAATTACCATTCCGCGTTTAGAGCTTTTAGCGGCACTACTCCTTACCCGGTTGGTTTCGAATTATACTTCAATATTAGAAGTACCAATTAGCGAAAAATATTATTGGACGGATTCTAGAGTCGTGCTAGCTTGGATAGCCGCCCCGTCGTCGCGGTAGAAGACATTTGTTGCTCACATAATTGGTGAAATCCAAGAGCTAACATCTGTTTATCAGTGGCATTATGTCAGCACGAAGGATAACCCAGCAGACGTGGTTTCGCGTGGTTGTTGTCCCGCACAATTGAAAGAAAATCGACTGTGGTGGGAGGGCCCTAAATGGCTAAATGGCGATACCAATGAATGGCCCAAGATTGATCTTTCTACAGTAAAAGAATTAGATGTATTTTCTGAAGAGCGTAATATGATTAGTTTGCACACGACTTTTATCTATGATTTGTCTATTTTTGAAAAATATTCTTCTTTAATGAAACTTTTACGCGTTGTTGCTTATTGTCGTCGATTTTATTTCAATGTTATAAAAAAATGCAATAAACTAGTTGGTTCGATTCAAGCGGAGGAGATTGAAGAGTCTACGACTTGTTTAATAAAATTAATACAGTCAAGTAATTGGCCCAGCGAGTTAAACGATTTAAAAAACGCGCGTCAAATTAGCAGTAAAAGCA